AGTCTCCTGTCACTTCCTCCCTCTCAGCTCCCCACAGCGGCCTCACCCCAAGGTTCCTCAGTCTGTATTGTCCCTTCAATGTGAGAGACCACGTTTAACACCCGTAAAAAACAACAGGTAAAATATTGATTTTATACATTTCGATCTTTACGTCTTCACACAGCAGGCGAGAAGACAAAAGATTCTGAACTGAATGGTAACCATCACATCTCGGATTTAACCCGTTCTGGCTCTCTTCATGAATGTAATGTCTTGTTCCAGAACATTTTCACTTCTCCGCAGTTTAGTAGGATTTAGTGCCTGTCTACATGTTCTGGTTCTGTGCTGCGTTCTGATAGCAAGACTCCAGCACACGCTTTATATTGCAATACTTTGGCATGTAGTCCCGTTGCTAGGCAACGACCGCGAAATAAACAACTATACAATAGCCGTTACTAGGCAGCAGCCCGCAACCAAATGTTTTCTGCGCGGTCCGTGCCTAGATGGTATACGCAGGACAGGTTCAGAACAAAATCCGATCATATGCTCTATCTTTACCAGAAGGACAAGCGGGCACTGCCTGGGAACCTTCAAAATCGGAGATATATTTTCTCCCCCCCCCCGCCAATGTAGTGTCTCTCACTACGACCACCACTTCTTCTCTCTCTCTCTCTCTGCCCACACAGTGCGAAACTCCACCAACTTTTGAAATAATCAGTCTGCTGTGAGGCTCCAGGTAGGAAGCATCGTAAAAGTTTACGGTCCAGCCATCAGCCTTGACCCACCGTGGGACCGGCAAGAAACCGTGCGAGTGCCGTACTACCGGCCTCACACGTCGAAGCATTCTACATCCCGTCGCCAGCAAACGTCGAGTTCTACAGGCGGAGTTCCCTCGGCTGAAACCTTGCGGTGTTAACGCACGCCGGGGTAACTTGCCTGGGCCCACTCTACCCGATTGGGGCGATTCGGTGGATCCCGGCTCTGCACCGGGGCGTGTGCCCCACTTAAGTGTTCATTTTCCCTGATTAGCGATTATTCTAGGGCCCAAGTAAGCTAGGGTTAATCAACCACCCACTAAGCTGCAAGGAGGTCCTCATATCTCCAGGGCTAGGTAGGGGGGGGGGCCGGCCCACCTAACAGAGCTCCCTCAAACTCTTTCGGGCGGGACGTACTGGCATGTTAGGGTTGGTGAGTTTACCCAAGTGCTAGTATGGTTAAGCACTTATGTATACAAGGAGGCAAATTGGGAATATTTTCGAAGCTGCATACACAGCAACCTAAATTCCAAACTACTCTCACATAATCCTATAGCAGATCAAATCGACAAAGCTGTGTCTCACTTTACCGATGTAGTGCATACAGCTATTCAGAAATCAATCCCCGTCAGAACTAGAAACTCCAGATCTATGCAAATTTCACCCTCCACACGTCTGTTAATTCAGGAACGTAATAAACTCCGCACTCTCTGGCAGAGGACGCACAATATTTCCCTGCGGCCCCGTATAAACTCTCTAAAACAACAAATAGATAAGGCGATCAAAAATTAACTCTGCAATAACTGGCATCACGCACTCCAAAGACTGGACACAAGTAATATCCAAGACACGTGGAGGATCACCAAACACTTAACTAATGCCTATAGCAACATCCCTCCTTTGAGTCTGAATAACAAATCGGCAGTTACACAACAAGAAAAGGTGAACTTATTCGCAGACACTTTACAGGAAATATTTACAACCAACCCAGATCGAAACCCACAGTTCTCGAAAACTACAGAACACACCGTCATAAGTTTCCTAAATNAAAAACAAATTCCCATGAAATCGACTGATTGATCCGACACTTGAAATCTCGCAAAGCCTCTAGCCCTGATGGNAGAACCTCCCAAAAATGGCCCTTAGATTCCTGGCCACAATTTATAACTCGTGCATAACAATCAGTTACTTTCCAGATCATTGGAAACTCGCAAAAATTATCATGCTTCCAAAACCGAACAAGGATCACTCCTCTCCCCTTAACTACAGGCCAATTAGCTTATTAAATTCCCTAGCAAAGCTTTTTGAAAAAGTATTACTCAAAAGACTACATTTTATTTTAAAGAAATTAAATTTAATCAGGGAGGACAAATACGGCTTTAAGAAAGGTCACTCCACAACTCACGCCTTGTTGCGGCTTATTGAACGCATTACCCATCGGTTAAATAATAACAAATCAACAATCGCCCTGTTTTTGGATATCGAGCGGGCCTTTGACAAGGTGTGGATAACCGGGCTCATCTCAAAACTTGTTAAGGCAGGAGTTCCTGCTCACTTTATACACATGCTGCATAGCTACCTCCACAGCAAGTCCTTCACAGTTGTTCATGGTAATTCCGAATCTAGCAGACGTCCTATTCAAGCAGGAGTCCCCCAGGGCAGTCCCTTAGGGCCTACACTGTTTAACATTGATATAAATGATTTACCATGCATTGAAAACGACAACAATGTGGCAGTCTCAATGAATGCTGACGATACGTGTGTCACAGCTCGATCTGACAACACACAATTAGCTATAAGAAAGCTAAACGATGCCATCAAAATTTTACAACCCTGGTTTAGCAAGTGGAGAATCAAAATAAATACAATAAATGCTCGACAACGTTATTTTCCAAGCGGTGGAGTCACTTCCGTGTTGCTCCGTCTCTACTTAAAAATTTCACACAAATATTAATTGAACAAATCGAATAAACTACCTGGGTGTCATACTAGACTCAAAACTTATCTACAGGGCACACATAAATAGGTCCTTGTGCAAAACCAACCATAGGCTCAGGCAACTGCATCCCATTTTGAACAAGTCCTCCCCCATCAATATTAATCTGGCCCTAACAATTTATAAGTCTCTAATAAGGTCAATTCTGATGTATGCAGCCCCTGCCTGGGGTTATGCGGCCAAAACACATATTAATAAACTCCAATTATTTCAGAACAAGGTTTTACGAATTATTACGAAACTCCCAAGGGTAACGCCCATCGATACACTTCATGAACAGACAGGGATTGAGACTATTCAAACACATGTTAGTAGAATAGCCACAAAATTATATTTAAAAAGTCAGCTTAGTGACAACTCTCAAATAAGACAGTTAGGCCAGTACAATCCAATCCACGATAAACACAAAAGGCCGCGACCCTGTTGACGGACTGATCTTGTGTTGTGAAGCATCCAATCGATATCACACCTTGACCTCACACACACTCACCCTCCCCCTTCCATAAAAATACCCTGAATCACTTATATGAGCGGAGTGCTCCTCATTGCAGGCGGCTAATCATCAGAAGGAATACCGGAGTACTCGGTCTTCTAGCAGCACCAAGAGCTAATCTCTACGCTGGACGCTGAACCAACATGACAGCCCAACTGAAGAGGTGACGACTGCAGTGGATCAAGATGATAGACACAAACTGTTTTGTTGTATTTCGAAATGTATTGAAATTGTAAATTAACCAGTGTATTGTGATTGGTGATTGACATGTACGCACTGTAAACTTTAACAATAAAGCATTAAGCACACATGTTAGGGAAACGTTAGGGAATCGCCCGTCTGTTTTGTTCGCCGGACCGCTGGCTAGAAGTCAGTGCGTATCCGGAAGGTCCTGCGACCGGCCATCTCGACACAGGTTTTCTTGGTTTTCCTCTGTCTTGTAAGCAAATGCTGAGATGGTTCCCAAATTCAAAGTTGCTACTGCATGCTTCTCATGCAGCCCTCCCGATTTAAATTCATCAAAATTACGGTCCCTTGCTGTCAAAATTACCAAAATTATACACGTAAACTCTAATTCTTTAAATTAAAAGCTCCGCGGCCCCTCTCTCTCAACTCTCTCAAGTCGTTGCTTCTAATCATCTTAACGCCTACACTTTCACTTTACTCTTACCAGAAGGACGAGCGGGCAAAGCCTGGGACCCTTCTTATAATCGATGCTCTTTCTTTCTTTCTTTCTTTCTTTCTTTCTTTCTTCTTTCTCTCTTTATCTCTCTCTAACTTTTGAAATAAAGCAACAGCACAGATAGGGTCTAATATTAGGGTTCGCCCATTTAATGCCGGACTAGAAGTGGCTAGAAGTCAGTTTGCATCCGGAAGGTCCTGCGACCGGCCAGCTCGACCAAGGTTTTCCGTGGTTTTCCTCGGTCCTAGAGCAAATGCTGAGTTGGTATCCAAATTCCACGTTGCAGTGCATGCCTCACATGCAGCCCTCCCATTGATAACATCAAAATTTCGCCCTAATATAGCCCTCTCAATGTTAGCAAAATAAAAAAAAAATCCGGTCATATGTTCTATCTTTACCAGAAGGACAAGCGGGCACTGCCTGTGAACCTTCAAAATTGGAGATATAGTTTCTTACTCCCCCCCGCCAATGCAGTGTCTCTCACTACCACCCCCACTTCTTCTTCTTCTTCTTTCTCTTCTTCTCTTTTCTTGCTTTAGCTACAGTGAGTTAGATAACCGCTGAGTTCAGTTGTTGTGAGTTGTTCCTGTGAGAGGCTGATAGCCGAGACCGGGGACAGCCCGGGAACACAGAGGAAGGGGAACGCTCTCCTTTAGAAGCCACTAAAGAGCAACGGCTAGTGAAGACATATTGTGTCCTATAGTGATTTGTGAAATGTGTAGAACAGTTAGAGCATAATCCTTACTTGTAGTTACGAGTTGTCAGAGTTTAGCAAATCCGATTAGCAATCCAAACCCCGTCTGTAGTCACTAAATTAGCTAAATAGCCCGATATATTGGAGGAACATATTGCATCTACATTCAGGGTCAAAGAGTAAGGCAAAAGCAAGAAGCCAGCAGAAGCAGGCAAGGTGGAGGTGATATATTCCTCCGAAACGTCTGTATTCGAACTGCAAGGCAGCACGGAAGTGCGTACTTACTTTTGTGAAGCTCAAGTAGAACGCGTATTTAGATATTTCTAAGCCGACGCCCCGACTGGCATCTGTACTGCTTGTCACGACGCCTAGCTGAGCAGATCTCGCTTTGTGTGTCGCAGGTATCGGATACGCAGTGGTGCTCATCGCTTTCTATGTCGACTTCTACTACAACGTCATCATCGCGTGGGCTCTCAGGTACTTCTTCGCCTCCTTCAGCAGTCTTCTGCCGTGGACGACGTGCGACAACTCCTGGAACACCCCTCTCTGCAGACCGGTGAGTCTTGCAAGTACTGTGACAGGATTTGCCTGAGGGTGCTTACGAGTACCATGAAAATCCTTAGTCGGGATAGCCGGTATCGAACTGAACACCTCAACAGCCACGCCATCCCGTTCGGGCGCTTATTTGACAGTAGATTTAGGTGGGGGTGGGGGATGATAGCAGGGAGTCAGTGAATAGGTCACAAATGAAGAGCAACAGATATGATGGACGTAATAAACTGTCTATGTGTATCACTAGGTAGCAGCATAGTCCAGCTTCATGACAGTCCAGGTAGCAGAGGCGCATGCCAATACTGAGGGGCTGGTTTCAGTAGTCAAAATGGCGACCGTGCTTTCGAATTGTACTACCGAAGAGCAGCGTTCTGTTGTGCGTTTTTTGTGGGGTAAAAAGGGCTCAATGCAAAAGATATTCTTCGATAAATGTTTCCTGTTTACGGTGGGAAGTGTTTGTGACGTAAAGCTGTTCACAACTGCGTGGCAAATTTTCGCTGATAACGAAGAGATTGAAACGAAGGTGCGGAAGTGGCTGAGACAACAGTCAAAAGACTTCTATTCTGCAGGTTTCGGCGCACTGGTAAAGCGATGGGATAAAGTGTATCGATGTTGGTGGAGGATATGTCGAGAGATATTTTTTTTCTCCAAGTCGAATATTGTATGTTTTCCGCCTTATATTCATTTGTGACCTATTTAACGACCTCCCTCGTGCTAGAGAGAAGATTATCTTCCGCTATGTGACGACGTGTAGTCTGGTAGATTTATATCAGGATATCTCAGTCGGTATAGTAACGGGTCACAGGCTGGAAGATCAAGGAACTGGGCTTCGATTCCCGCCAGAGGCAACAGATTTGTCTCTCATCCTCAGCGTTTAGACCGGTTCGGAGGCCCAATTAGGGCCCTGTCTAGTCAAAACCTCCGCGGGTAAAGTTGCAGGGACGTGAAGGTAACCACTCACCTCCATTTAATGCGAAATATTAACATGCACAACTATACGATGTTGTGATGTGGACAGGATTCATCTGGCTCAGGATAGGGTCCTGTAGCGACGTGTTGTGAATACGATAAAGGGTGGGAAATTTCTGGACCAGCTGAATTAACTATCGGCTTCACAATTAGGAGTTGGCTGTAAGAATTTGGGAGAGGGATGATCAGCAAGTGATTTGGGCGCATTTTTTGGGGGGGTGGAGCGACTGAGGAAACCACGATAAACGTTAGTGTGGGTGGCTGATGCCCTGTTGCTGTTACAGTTTGAGCTGAATGCCTGGACCGGGGAATCACATCGCAACGGCAGCTTCAGCGTCGGCGTCGGCGACACCACCGAGCGCCATCTCTCTGGGCCGATCAGCGTCATCAGTGAGGACACGAATAATTACACTAAATTCACTTCCGCAGCTTCGGAGTACTTCAAGTAAGTGATAATACAGGGCGTTCAATCAAGGGATAAACTTTCCACCACCGTTGACAGGGCCCGATATTCCTCACAGATTTCTTCTGTAACTGTAACGGCGCGCGTTTGTCAGAGCTAATGACTCATTCTGCTATCAGCAGTTACAGCAGCAATCTGTGAGGAATGTTGGGCCGGCTCAGCGGTGTTGCGAACTTTCCTCCATAACCGAACGCACTGCATAATGTACTGGTAAATGTGTTGTACCTCAAGTGTTACTCACACACAGTGAGGTTTGTTGTCCTGGGAGCGTTTCTCACACAGTGGTTGGGCAGAAGGAGTGTTCTTGCGCGGGGCGGTGGAGTTGCGCAGACCGGAAGCGACAGTGCTGCGCTGAGCAGAGAGCGCAGTTTGTGACTGTACAGTGAAGTGCAGCGCAGTGCACTGACTTGTGCGGAAGGTCGCAGGACCGAATAAATCTCGGGTCAGAAATATTTACCGCATCAGATTCTGTAAATACGTTACTGGGTGTGGCTGTTGGTGGTGGCGGAGGTGGTGGTGTCATCATCATCATCATCATCATCATTTTCATTATGCCGTTCTCTCCGTCTTAACTGTAGGCCTACCTTTTCGTCATCTTTGGCTGTATGTTACAGTTTTTATTATTGTTATTATTTTCACGTGTTACTGTGTCACTACTGTACGGGGTTTTGGATTGCTGAATAGGTTTATTGACCACTTACAGGTCGTAACTACAAGTAACTATAACACTATTGCTATGTCTACACTTTACAGTACACTAGAGGACACAGTCTAGTGTTCTTAGTGTGGTACTAGACGTTTCCAGGTAACGGCTTCTAATAAAGGCTGTACATCTGCCTCCGTGCTCAGGTCGTCTCTGAACGGCGTCCCCCTTTCAGCTGAACTCTTTTCTTCTGTCCATTTTCTCCACACCTCCCAATACAGAACTGACTTAGTCAGAGTCAGAGTCAGAATCAGAGTTACTTTACGGCTGGCGGTTTACCGCCAATCAGTTCGTCTTGGCGTAGGCCCCTTGAGGCCCACGACCAGAATTTATTTTTCCAACTGAACTCTTGCAATAATAGTACTTATGTAACATCCTCTCTTACGAGAAGATGGGTTTGTCTTTTATGAATACGCTTGGCCTTTCGTTAAGTGTATATTTCTCACATATAACATGTTATTGAAAATTTTTCCTTTTGCACTACACACAAGTCCGCTGTCAGTACAGGTTTTACAGAGGAGATCATGCCTCACTTACATATCTTATGCTACAACGGCAGCTTAGTCATTTGAACAGTCGTAAGCTTGACCACCACCAAGTTTAAGCCCCTTACATTTTCTGTCTCTGGCTTCACCTTGTCCCATACCGCGAACTTGTTCATTCTCATGATTTTGTATGACTTCTGCTTGTCGCCTGCACAATTTTGTTATATAGTCGTATACATACGGAAAGTTGAAAACTGTGTGCAAGTCGCGGACCGGTGTGCACATTAGAAAATTTCCAATCCCAGTTGTCTTCCTTATATAACTTCTCGGCACGGATCGAGTAGAAACCCCCGTTTCCAAATGTACCTTTATTGTTGCGCGTTCATTCGTTGCTGTGGGAACATGTTTACCCAGCCGTTGTCTAGAAAGGGGTCTGGCCTTTCTCCTGGTCGTCGCACAGTAACGGCTCTACAAGCTACAATATTATTATTATTATTGTTATTCATTACTTGTTTTTTTATTTTTTAATTAGTACTTACCCTATCTTTGGCCCTTGGAGTGTCGGATTCGGCATATAAATAAATAGAGAATCGACTGACATTATTATTATTATTATTATTATCATCATTATCATTATCATTATCATCATCATCATCATCATTTGGCCTCTTTGCTGTTAAGTTGCATGTAAATAAACATGAATTGAATTGAATTGAACTGAATTAGGATGTTGAGCTGCCGCACGAATAAACTAGAATTAATTGGGTTATTAATATTATTATTATTATTATTATTATTGACTTCTATGTGTGTATGTATGTGTATTGTCCTTTCTCATCACATTATGAAATAACCATTCGAAATGTACTTATTTAATTTTTCTCACCTGTTAATGCTAACTTTAATTTTTCTTGGAATTATTATTAATTTATTGCTATTATATAGACTGTCTTATTTGTATCCTGTTTTTTAGTTATTTCTGTATTTTTATGTACTCGTGCCAACTTTGTTATTGGCCTCTGTGCTGTTAAGTTTGCACGTAAATAAACACGAATTGAATTGACTCATCATCATTTGTGTTGGGGAGAAGTCTCTTACTGATGTGCAGGTGCAGGCTAGGCTGAAGGCCTGTGCCACGGTGTAGACTCCGCGGCTAGCAAACTGAACACGCGAACGGATCCCCGTGTTCGCGCAGAACACTGTAGCAATGTTTTCTGTTGTCCTTACCTACAGTCGAGCGATCCTCGAGCTGCACCGAAGTGCGGGACTACACGATCTGGGGGCCATCAAGTGGGACATGGCGCTGTGCCTTCTGGCTGTGTATTTCATCTGCTACTTCAGCCTCTGGAAAGGAATCTCCACGTCAGGAAAGGTTAGTGTCCGTTAGATCGTTAGGATAGAAGTCTCAAGGTCAGGAAAGTTTAGTGCCCAAGAGATCGTTTGAATAGAAATCTCCACTTCATGAAATGTTAGTGTCCAAGGGATTGTTAGAGTAGGAATCAATAAGTCAGGAATTGTTAATGTCCATGATATCCTTAGGATACAAATCTCCACGTCAGAAAATGTCAGTGTCCATGAGATCCTTAGGACAGAAATCTCCACGTCAGGAAATGTCAGTGTCCATGAGATCTTTGGAGAGAAATCTCCACGTCAGGAAATGTTAGTGTTCATGAGATCATTAGGACAGAAATCTCCACATCAGGAAATGTCAGTGTCCATGAGATCGTTAGGAGAGAAATCTCCGCGTCAGGAAATGTCAGTGTCCATGGGATCCTTAGGAGAGAAATCTCCACGTCAGGAAATGTCAGTGTCCATGAGATCCTTAGGAGAGAAATCTCCACGTCAGGAAATGTCAGTGTCCATGAGATCCTTAGGATAGAATTCTCCACGTCAGGAAATGTCAGTGTCCATGAGATCCTTAGGATACAAATCTCCACGTCAGGAAATGTTAGTGCTCATGAGATCATTAGGTTAGAAATCTCCACATCAGGAAATGTCAATGTCCATGAGATCCTTAGGAGAGAAATCTCCACGTCAGGAAATGTCAGTGTCCATGAGATCCTTAGGAGAGAAATCTCCACGTCAGGAAATGTCAGTGTCCATGAGATCATTAGGATAGAATTCTCCACGTCAGGTAATGTCAGTGTCCATGAGATCCTTAGGATACAAATCTCCACGTCAGGAAATGTTAGTGTTCATGAAATCATTAGGATAGAAATCTCCACATCAGGAAATGTCAGTGTCCTTGAGATCCTTAGGAGAGAAATCTCCACATCAGGAAATGTCAGTGCCCCTGAGATCCTTAGGAGAGAAATCTCCACGTCAGGAAATGTCAGTGTCCATGAGATCCTTAGGAGAGAAATCTCCACGTCAGGAAATATTAGTGTTCATGAGATGATTAGGATAGAAATCTCCACGTCAGGAAATGTCAGTGTCCTTGAGATCCTTAGGAGAGAAATCTCCACGTCAGGAAATGTCAGTGTCCATGAGATCCTTAGGAGAGAAATCTCCACGTCAGGAAATGTTAGTGTTCACGAGAATCTAAGATGGAATTCTGAACTTCAGGAAATGTTAGTGTTCATGAGAATCTAAGATGGAATTCTCAACTGCAGGAAATGTTAAGTGTTCATGAGAACCTAAGGATGGAAATCTCGACTTCAAGAAAGTTTAATGCCCATGAGATTGTTAGGATACAAATTTCCACGTCAGGAAATGTTAGTGTCAATGTGATCATTAGGATAGATATCTCCACATCAGAAAAGTCTGTGGTAATGTTAGGAAACAGAAGAAGAGAATACAACAGGCCTGTTTATGCCGCAGGTGGTGTGGTTCACGGCGCTCTTCCCGTACGCAGTCCTGCTGATTCTGCTCGTCAGGGGCGTCACTTTGCCAGGATCTGCCGAAGGGATCAAGTACTATCTCAGCCCCAACTTTTCAGCCATCACCAAGGCAGAGGTGAGTTTGTGGCCGTCGCTAATCATCTGCTTTACCAAATAAGATCAGAAGGAGCAGTACACAAACCCGAACTGCCTTCTTCGCAGTTTATCCAACAACGTGTATGCAGCCGGTACATTCGGGACAGGCGCTGCAGCAAACACAAGCAAGGGGCAATGCAAATTCGAGTCAAAACAAGGTCTGTGAAGTGGATCGTATGATAAGTGGGGAAGTCCATTTATGACCTTACGTAAAGTAGTCATTTTTATAGATCAATGGCGTCGGTGGATCATCAGGTCCGACGCGTCTAGTGAAATTCTCCAGTGTCGGGTAGAAAAAATATCCGTCCACTGGCTTAGGAGCTGACGGCAGGTCACCGAGAGACGGTTATGACCTGCACATCAGACGTTCCTTCTCAAATTGCAAGGAACGCCCGATATAGTCAGTCAAAAATTTTTAAGGCATATTGGTAACTACATGTACCTAACTAACTTCATGGAGCTGAACCTTTCCTGAGAAACCGCCCGTTGTGCAGCTACTCAAGAACGTCCAAATGTTTTATAGAACCAGAAAGTTCATTACCGTGTTCACAAAAGCCCGCCATTTGTCCCTATCCTGAGCCAGATGAACTCAGTCCATACCACTCCAACCCATCTCTCTAAGATGCATTTTAGTATTATCCACTCACGTCTAGTTCTTCATAGTGGTCTCTTTCCTTCTGGCTTTCCTACTAAAATCGTATATAGACCCCTTACGTCCCATGACCAGATCTGTTTCCCTTACTTTAGGTCATTCCTGCGGTTGTAATATTTATTAAAATGTAACTTCTCCGTCGAATGGCTATTGATGTAAAATTTCATGTGAAAGTGCACAAATGTTGCCCTCTTTCGTATGACGGACTGATTCTCAAACTCCCTTACAAAAGCTGGATAGATGAAGGAATACAGAACACAGGTCTGTTTCTGCGGGCACCAGGTGCGTTTCTCGACGGTTTCATTGCAATATGATTTTGTAAGAAGATGTATAAATCTTAGTTTAGTTTAAGGAGGAATCCTTCCACTTACCCGTAGTAGTTTCAGGTTTAAAATTATGAGCATAACGCGATGTTATGCCCTTTTACCCACGAAGCTACTGTGACCTCTGTACATTTGTATTCAACACTCATCAGTCAAATTGGGTTAGTGATGTTTGGCTGATGCAAGTGCGTAGTACTTCTGAGCTCGTTTTCTTTGTGATTGAAATTGCTGTTGAAAAAAATCGCCAGGTAGTGATCAAATTCCGGCAGAACTGATTCGAGCAGGAGACGAAATATTACGTTCTAAGATCCATAAGCCGGGCCGCGCCGGAGCTCAAGCGGTTAGTCGCTGGCTTCCCACCGCGGCTGCCAGGGTTCGATCCCGGGTCTGGTCAAGTGGGATTTGTGGTGGACAAAGTGACGCTGGAGCAGGTTTTCTCCGAGTACTTCGGTTTCCCCTGCCAATCTTCATTCCACCAATTGCTCCACAATCACGCTCACCTATCATCTGGGTCTGGTACAATAGACCAGAAGTGGCCGCAGTACAAGGGACTTAAATCCACCCCACTAGCAAAAATAATCCATAAGCTAATTACTTCTATTTGGAAGAAGGAAGAATTGCCTGATCAGTGGAAGGAGTCTATTACTGTACCAGTTCACAAGAAGGGTGATAAAACTGACTTTGTAATTATCGGGGGATGTAACTGCTATCAACTTCATACAAAATTGTATCCAATATCCCTCTCTCAAGGTTAAGTCCATAAACAGATGAAATTATTGGGGATCATCAGTGTGGGATTCGACTTAACAGATCAACTACTGATCAGATCTTTTGCATTCGTCACATACTGGAGAAAAATGGGAGCACCAAGAAATAGTACATCAGCTATTCGTAGAAAGCCTATGAGTTGGCCGTGCCATAGCTGAAGCGGTTATTCGCTGGCTTCCCACCGCGGCGGCCCTGATTCGAGGCCAGGTCAAGTCATGTGGGATTTGTGGTGGACAAAGTGGCGCTGGGGCAGGTTTGCTCCGAGTACTTCGGCTTCCCCTGCCAATCTTTATTCCACCAATTGCTCCACAATCACCTTCACCTATCATCCGGGGCTGGTACAATAGGCCAGAAGTGGCCGACGTACCAAGTGGACTCACCCAATCCAAAGACGAAGCCTCTGATTCAGTTAGGAGGGAAGTTCTTTGCATTGTACAATATTCTCATAGGATACCCATGAAACTAGTTAGGCTAACAAGACGCCATCCACGAAATACAAAAACAAAACACAAGCCAGATGAAAAGTGCGACACAGCACGTCGATTAGTTTAGATTATTCTTAAATTATTTTCATAGTTAAATTATTTCAACAAGTACCGATTCGGTTTTTAAAATAGTAGTTTTTTACGTAAAGCCCTCACGGTCTATATAGCATTGCAATACGGCGTAAGAGTTTACGCGAATTATATGTGACATGTAGCCCCACTGCCAAGTAACAGCTGTTGCTAGGGAACAGCTCTGTGGACACATTATTTCCCCGGCAATGAGAGAACACGCATTACTGATCAAATCAGTAATGACTTCTGCTTGCCCCGCCTGGACATTACCGGCACACGCCGATCTCGTAAAATTGCAGCGCCTGTAAAACAAGGTTCTCTGCACCGTTCCAACTTTTCCAAGGTGTACAACGGTCCGCGATTGCACACGACTTTCAACCGTCCGTGCGTGTGTGATTATATAACAAAATTGTGCAGGCGACAAGCAGAAATCATATAAAATTTGAGAATGAAAACATTCGCGGTATAGGACAGGGCGAAGCCAGGCATAGAAAATATAAGAGACTTAAATTTGGTGGTGATCAAGCTTACCACCGTTCAAGTGACTAAGCTGCCGTTGTAGCATAACATGAGTATGACAACCGTGATCTGGCTTGCAAAGCCTGGACTTACAGAGAGCAGGACTTGTACATAGTGCAAAAGGAAGAATTTCCAATAACACGCTATATGTGCGATACGTACACTTGACGAAAGGCCAAGCATATTCATAAGAGACAAACCCATCTTCTCGTCAGAGAGGATGTTACATAAGGACTATTACCGCAAGAGTTCAGTTGGAAAAAATCTCTGGTCGTTGGCCTCAAGGGGCCTGACGCAAAGACGAACTGATTGGCGGAAAACCGCCAGTCGTAAAGTAACTTTGACTCTGACATTGAGCTGTTGTCAAAATTCCTTTCTTGGACACGGGTTCGATTACCTCCACCATAGCCCTGCGAGTCGTAGGAGGCGACGAAAATGGAAATCAGTGCCGGGGGGTATAACCGGACAACCCTGTAGCTGGGGATATAAGTACGGGGACCTGGCTCTCCAAGTTAAGAGAGTCTCTAATCTGTGATATTTAAATATGGTCATGAGTCTCGTGGTACTCGAACCCGAGAATGACTGCGCTGGAGAGGACCAGCAGCAATTGTAAATAACAGACACATCCCCTCGTCAGAGAGGGGGTCCCACATCAACAAAACCGTAACTGCCCGACGGTAATTAAAATGTGGTCTTGGGCCCCAGATGAGGGCTTGAAACCAATACAGACTGGCCGATTGACCGTCGGTCGTAACATAATTTTGACTATGAATTGTCTATTGTCAAGTCATCCGTGAAAGTTTACTGAGGACGGTATTGCAGTTTTCATGGCCCTCCTTACGTTTCCTTCTCAGGGCCACAGGTTCTCCTCTGCGCTCCCGAACCGAGAGGGTTAGCGTGGCAGTAACGCTGTAGACTTGTATTCGGTTCGACTCTCGGCCTGGAGGTGATAATTAAATAAACCACAAAGGCAATTCGGCTGCATCGCTGTCATCATTATCATCAGATGATTGTTACGGCTTTGTAAAATGACGAATTTGTTAATCTGCTGACTGGAAACGGAAACTCTCCATTAAATTTCAGCGCCTTGTTAATATTCACTGAGTGCCGGGACGCCTGACTCCGGCACCAAGTCTTATCACGTCGCATATCGAAATGGAAACTCCATGTTTCCGTGCAGACATGACCAGCCATTAGGCGATCAATCTGAGAAGGCGTCGGGGCGCTATTGCTGCACGTGATGTCACATATTGGCGCGTACATCCACAGGTTGAAATATGAAGATGCTGTCGAGAGAACCTAGCAGCTTACTAAGCGGGCGTCTGAAAAATTTGCTTCTATTTCGTTGTGGGCACGTTCACAACGTGAAATTACGTAACTGCTACGGTTACCTTCGCCACGTAACAACCCGAGAACCGCTGAACGGGTTTTCATTAAATCTGGTATTTCGCGATTGTACTAAATTTTTTTACACAGTTTATTTTCAGTTACAATCTGGCAACAGTGACGGATATTTCACATAAATAATTACTCGAATTTCTTCGCACATCTCAAGTTAATGCATTTAATATTTATCGGACAGAGAAATGTTTCGAATAGACGTTGCAAACCAAAAAGGAAACGCGTGTTATTCCTCAGGCATTTATTTCCGTGTCATTAAAGTACATTAGTCCAGTATGAAACGTCCTTTTCAATACTGTCGCGTGATTGAGTGACTATAGACAGGGTTCGGATTAGTAATTGGAAATAATGAACTCTTACAGATCCGTGACTACAACCAACTATAGTGTTATCTCTAATTCACACACTCTGCAGGACACTACAGCACGTACTAAGTTTTCTCAGTCTCCTGTGCCTTCACCGGTTGTCAACTGGTAACGGCTTCCAACGCTGTAGTGTTCTCAACTTCCGTATCCACGTCTTATTGGCCGGCGACTGTCACACAGCGAACTCATTGCTCCAACTGATTAACTCCCAGGCTGGCAGACGTCCCACGGCACACTCCTACTCTTTTCACTGCCGTCTCAAGACTCTCTTCTACTGACAGCTGGCCCTCTTTATAGAGCCTCGGAACCTACCGCACAGAGAACACCGCTTCCAAAAACTCTTCTATTGTTTCGTGAGTGGTTGTTGCCGCCTTTAACTAACAACGACCGTTATTTACAGAGCCATTATTTAGCAAGGGCAATTGTATAACTATATATTTCGCGGTCGTTGCCTAGCAGTAGGTCTACATGCCACAATAACTTGAAGGCGCACGACTTCGCTGAAGCAATAATGCTTGTAAAATCTATTAACGAGATGACCGCTCCGAATCTCGTCTGGAACTCAGATTATTCTAGCGGCTTTCTTGGTTTTCCTTAGTTCCTCCAGGGAAATCCTGTACCCCTAGACTACTGACGTTCCCGTTCACGTTCAGTTCATTGTGCACTGAATGCCCTGCCATTCGACGCTTTGCAATTGGAAATTTTTTTTTTTTTAGACTCCCATATTTATTATGCAATCTGAGTTAATACATTTAGCATAATGATGTGACAAGGAAAGAAAAAGAACGTGTAGAATACCGCTCATTAGCGGTGCTCCTTGTGCAGTAGATAAAGTCTGGTATGATTTGTGGGAGAATACTTACAAACTAGGGACTTAAGATCTAAATAATAATACTACATTATACAAGAAATCTGTTTGGGAGATCATGTGGAAGATGTCTTCTCAGTCTGCGGAGAGGCGGGGGTGCAGAGAGTTGAGACACTTCTTGGTTAATGTGCATATTGAGCCGTGATCTGTATTTCGAACTTAGTCGACTGATTTCTTCTTGAACTGTAGGTATTTGTAGATCGTGTCTGATGATGGCATTGGGGACATACCAAGGGGCGTCCGTTAGCAGACGCAGAGCTTTAGACTGAAATCGCTCAAAGATGGCAATGTTGGTGTTCGAAGCAGAGCCCCATAGTTGAATGCCATATGTCCACACAGGTTTGATGATGATTTTGTAAATGAGGAGCTTGTTGTTTAGAGTTAGTTTAGATCTTCGTCCAAGTAGCCAGTGTAGTTTGGTGAGTAG